ATCTTGTGTATCTCATTATTTTCCTTTCTACTTATTTGGTTTAAAGGATTTCAAGCATCGTCTTATTGCGAAGGCTAATATTATTCAATCTCGATTCGAAGCAGAGACCTCATCTCTTCAAGCCCGCCAGCAATGGTACCAGATGAACCAGGTCAACTTGAACAAGGATGATGAAGTCGAATATCTTCAGTTCTGCAATGAAGCTACCTTCCGGATTACTACACTGGAAGCGATGTTGGCTAGACATAAACAAACAGCGCCTCAGAAGTATATGGCCTTAGAAAAGAAATTGCGTTTTGACCCCCGGCTAGCTGAGTTCCTACAGGCCGGTTAGTAACTGCCTGATTACATTCTTAGGTTTGTATTTTCTGCGTCTTATCTCCTGGTTGATTATCCATTTGGAGATGCCTTTCGGATACCTTTTATTCAGAAACAATTCAAATACTACCTGATATAAAGCTAGTTCTTTTTAAGTGGTGTACACGTAGTTTACGCGAACGACAAAAATTGATTAGAAGATGGCACTTAAATATCCTTCAGGCTGATGCTATTTTTATTGCCGGTGCTGATGATGGCCGCATCCATTTCGATAATTCAATGGAACTCGCTTCTTCATAAATGCATAATTTATATGCTTAGGTGACTTAGCAAGTAAACTCTTTTCAATATTTTACACTCTAAATAGGAGTTGGGAGATAGTAACAGAATCTGCTGCTGTCAGCAAATAAAAAGAAAAATCGAACCAAGGATTTTGTGTTACTTTTGTGCTATTGTGCCGGAAGTTCTATTGTCATTCCACTATCTTTCTTATGTTGAAGATCAAATAAACTTATTAAAAAGTACCTCTTTCTTTTCCACCTGATAAAAGGAAAATATCATAATAATAAATGAAAAATTGTACGCCCAGGTAAAGGATTTTTGCGTAGCTTACCTCCATAACAAATTATAGAGAATGCGAACAAATAAAATAAGATGTAACAACGAATTTAAGAATGTGGAGATTTTAATTATTTTAAATAAACTTTTCCCTTTGGTGTGGAATTTAGAAAATGAGACTCACAACATATGGGCATTTGGGGGGATTAAGAAAATATAAGTTATTTTTCACCTTTATGTAGAGTTTCGAGACTATCAGTAAATCACTTATATGAGATGTATTCGCCATATTTCGTTCCCAAAAAGTGTTCTCATCCTCGGTGGACTGCAAGTACAGCCTTATTAACACTGCAGTATGTAATCTCGACAAGTTGACCGCTACGCCACATTGCCATGAGTGCCCTTGGGTCAGAGGGCAGATGTAAATTTCAAGGAAGGCCAGGAATTTTCCTATATCACATTATTTGGTGGGATAGGCAATGAAGCAAAGGTATATTTGCTATGACAATCGACTACGCTACACTGTCATGCTTAGAATCAAGCTAGGGGCGTTTATACCACCTAGACGAATTACAAACTGCAGTCCACCCTGGATGAGGAAGGCTATATTAAATTAAATAGAAGCGTCAGCTCTATTCATATTTTTGTGGGAAAATTCACCTACAAGTCCTTTATCACCTTAAATAAAATAGATTGAATACACCGCATATAAAAGTTATATTTTGAAATGAAGTTGTTTGACTTTGTTTTCGCAACTCGGTCATATTGGTAGGAAAACTTAAAGGAACGCACCTAGTCAGGAATCTATTGTATGCATCATCATTTCCAGAGTAAGACCGTGGACATGGTACATTCCTAGACGTTTCGCTGGCATCGTAGTCGGCATTGTCAGTGAGTTTCGCCATTCGTAGCACCATATTACAACTCGACAAAGGGACAATTGAAGCCCATCCTTTGACCAAACGGGTGCTAAACAGTTATGGTATCTCACCTTCTGCC